GATGTTACCGTTAAAATATCGTTTTAAACAATTCTCTCAGCTAATATATCGGAGGACCAACTAATATTTTTAAATTTAGATAATTACAATGTAGTTAGTAATTTCAGTAGAAAGCATATGTTATATGGTGGGTCCTTAATATTAGTAAAAAAAATAGTGTTAAATCAAAAGGAAGGAAAGAGATTACTGTCAGTTGAACACACCATTCAGTTGTTCTGTGGTGAGCTAGATAGACATGTTATTGTCTGTGTGTATAGGCCACCTAACTATCAGAATCATGCAGTATTTGATTCTGTCATGGAGGACGTTTTAAGGAAGGTTTATTCTAGTCAAAAATCAGTAATTATATGTGGCGATATTAATATTAATTTATTAGAAAACAGTACTAGTAGTATGGAATTGTTAAATTAATTTGGATCATTTCATTTGTAAATATTTTTTTAGAACCAACAAGGATAACATCCTCTACCGCCACCTGTATTGATAATGTTTTCTATAATTGTGACTACAAAGAAAAACATATTATAAATAGCTTGCCATCAGACCACTGTGGACTAATGGTTGCGTATAGCTCTTATTTACCTATCCTAAAAATTCAATTAAGATTTAGACAAATTACGTTCAAAAATTTGGAGAAATTGAACAATTCTTTAGCTACTAAATTATGTATGAAATTATTTGATACTACTAACGATTTCTTTGAGATGTTAAACAAGGAATTCAACAATATTTTTTGCCAATAAAAAAAAACGATATTCATACCAAATTTGTATTTAGCGATTGGGCAACTGTAGGTATTCGTAAGAGTAGGGACAGACTTTTTGAACTTTATGGAATGAAACCGTATAAAAACGACACCCAATTTCACCAGTATGTAACATCTTATTCAAAAACCTTTAGAGTAGGGTGCAGAGTCGCAAAACGTCTTTATATTAGTAATTTTATTTTAAAATCATCTGATGATAAGATAAAAACTGCTTGGTAAGTTATACACAACGAGACTGGTAGGAAAAGATTAAGAAACTCAGAATTTAATTTAAATGCCGAAAGGGGACAAACTTCATTAAACGTAGATGTAGCCCTGGAGTTTGAATTTTTTTTACCAACATTCATATCAAAACAACTGAACATTTAAAGTCATCAGCAAACCTCTTTGTGACTTTGCCTAAGAACAACATAGAATCATGTCCACCGCTGCTGGCCGTCCCGGCTGCCAAGACCAACCTACTGGCCAAAACGCCTCTGACGCGAGCAATTCGTACGATTAACCAAATCCAGACTGTAATAGATGTATTTGCGTGTCAGTTCAATGAACTCGCAAAGATTATTTTATATATACTGTGTTATAGGTTAGAGTAGTAGATATAGTTTTAGTGTTAAGTTGCTTTTATTAGTCTAGGTATTGTTAATTTGTTATTGTTAGTTTTGTAAATGTAAGTAAATGTAAGTAAATGTAAGTAAATGTCCGTATAAAGTGCCACACTAACGCATTAGGTTATATAATTTACCTGTAATGTTAGCTGTAAGAGTTGAAATAAATAAATAAATAAATAAATAAATGTCAACACGACTTTAGTTTCCGATATACGAATCCTCTAGAAATTATAAAAGTTTTAAAGAAATCAACGGAGGATCTTTGGGGATTATCGGTGTGCGTTACCCAGGCTAGATGTTGTCGAAAATGGTCATTTGAATGTTATACATAAGTTGTGCAGCTTCTGTTATTGTTGCGCACATTTTTAAATTTGTTGCGCTTATAGTTTTTTAATTATTTCATACAAATATTTCCTGCTGGGGTAACGTTACCCCAGCCAGACCTTGTTTTTCTGATGGGAATACTTAAATAATTACGAGCTATAAAATTAGTTGTCTAGATGAAGGAAATGTTGTGCCTTATTTTGTATTAGTTCTTTCATCGGTTGCGAAGTTATTCGGCTGGGGTAACGTTTTTGGTTTTGCGAGTTCTTTGAAATGGATAAGCGTATTTTTATCATATTTTGTATATAGCTTCTTAGGAATTAGTTTAATTTGTTGTGCAATAAAAATACCAAAATAATACATAGGTAGCTTAAAAGTTATTTAACCATGTAGTTAGTAGTTAGATTCCAATAGTAGGTTATTTAATACTTTAATTCTAATGTAGACAATCTAGTTTCCTTATGGCATCGAGCATTTCTTAATTTATTGAAACCGAGTTTCCTTTTTCTTGTATAGAAGCACTATTTTTTATGGATTGTCAGTATGCATATGTGAGTATTATGTTAGACTATAAGATTTTATTTTTATTTTAGTAAGTTTTGTAATTAGTATAATGCGTCAAGAGTGTCTTTGTATTTTTCTCACATATACGTACAGTATTGGAATATGTATCAGAGACATTGTAGAACATACTTATTTAAAAAGAGTAACAAATGGAGTTTCTTACTCGTTCTTCTCCATTTGAATCTACATTTTGAAATGACCTAGCTTCACCTAGCTTCACTGACGGACTGACTGACAGACTATTATTTATTATGTGTTTTTTGCCGCTTCGAAAGTACCAAATTATGGTGTAATTGAAATAAATGCTTTGATTTTTTTTACTTTTACCGTTAGGGATCATCCATAAATTCCGTCACACAAATTTCATGATCTTTTGCCCCTTCCCCCGCCATTGTCACAGCTAGTCACATTTGTGAGACCCTCCCCCCACTAGTGTGACGTCACATGGGGCAAGTACCAATATGACTTCTTCCGAGTTATATGTACTTTCTAAGATTATTCAGACACCACTGACGAACGGTGAAGGAAAACGTTGTGAGGACCTGGGCTTATAACTTCTAATTATAAATTTGATAAAGTGAGATACATGATTATATAATAGTCTAATAGTTAAAAGTTAATCAAAGTAAAGCACAATGTGGACCACAAAAGTCGTGTTATTCATTTACACCAGCTTACCCTCACCTCATTTTTGCAATCCCGCATCTAGCAAGCGTGGCGATTAATACTCAAACCTTCTCCGTCCCAGTAGAGACCTTTGTCCAACAGTAGAATGATTATAATATTTCATAAAACCTACTTGTATTAGAAATCGACATATAATGCCGTTGAGTTCCGTTGACACCACTCAGAATGCTTGGACTCGAGTCCCGGGCGAGCATAGTTTGCACTTCCATGAGCCGGCCCACTGCTAAATCAACTGTAAATGAATAGACATAAGGTTTATATTACTATAAACACTTTTGATCACTACTGTGTAAGCGACTGCCTCGTTGGCCGAGTGGTCGCAAGTACGACTGCCGGGTCTCGGGTTCGATCCCGGTTAGGGCAGTGCTGCTGGGGTATTTAAAAAAAAATCTCAGTAGTTTCGTTAATTACGGAGTCTGGAATTGTGTCCGGTATATGGCAATAGGCTCACCCCCTATTACATGGGACTCATAACATAAATAGTGAAAAGTGGGTGTTACATTACACATGCACTCTTCTGCCTACCCATCTCTGATATAAAAAAGCATTTAAATATTATACTCACGGTTAATATCAGGAAACTTGTCGTAGGCAGACAATATTCTGATCTGAGCGAGTTGCACCAGTTTCGCTGCGACATCTATCGAGCCGGAGTTTAAGTAAAACATCTGAAAAGAAAAACAAATGGTTTTATCACCATCATCATCGTAAGTGTGGGAGAGCCATGCTTCGGCACGAATGGGCCGGCTCGACCGGAGTGATACCACGGCCGAGCAGAAAACCGACGTGAAGCAACGCTTGCGTTGTGTTTCGTCGTGTGAGTGAGGTTACCGGAGGCCAAATTACCCTCCCCTTCCCCAATCTCCCCAATTCCTGAATTCCCAACGATCCTCAAACTCCCAATCCCCAAAAGGCCGGTAACGCACTTGTAATGCCTTTGGTGTTCCAGGTGTCCATGGGCGACGCCGATTGCTTACCATCAGGTGATCCGTCTGCTCGTTTACCGGTTAATGCCATAAAAAAATCAATGTCATCATTCGATGACTTCTCTTGCCCTTAGTCAGGCGAGAGGGAGTCAAAGTCAAAGCATTTATTTCAATTAAACCATAATTTGGTACTTTTGAAACGTCAACAAATACAAAATAAATAATAGTTTGTCAGTCTGTCCGTCAGTGAAGCTAGGTGAAGCTAGGTGCTCATTCTAAAATGTAGATTCGAATGGAGAAGAACGAGCAAGAAACTCCATTCGTTACTCTTTTTAAAAAAGTATGTTCTACAATGTCTCTGATACATATTCTAATACTGTACGCATATGTGAGAACAATGCAAAGACACGTTTGACGCATTATACTAATTACAAAACTTACTAAAATAAAAAACAATAAAAATCTTCTAATCTAACATGGTGCTCACGTATGCATACTGACAATCCATAAAAATAGTGCTTCTATATAAGAAAAAGGAAACTCTTTGTTTCATTAAAAAAAGAAATGCTCGATGCCATAAGGAAACTAGATCGACGACATTGACTAGAGTGTCAGACTCTTACTGACTAATCACCACCCTGTTCCAACTCCTGCTTACGCTATGTCCTGCGTCCACCAATCAGGTGGCTTACTCTTGAATCCAATTCCGATCGACCGACATTAGTATTGCGAAATTTCGTACTCTTGAGTTGCAACACTAGCGCCCATTGCATCCGTATTGCGTGGATATTGAATGAACTAAATGGTATTGAGTTTGGCTTTATATTCCGTACTCTAAATGCTATTGTAACAGCTACGATTGTGGTTGTATAGTTTTGACATTGGATAATTATTGAGATTTTATTGGATTGAAATTGCATCGACATTGAGATTGGGTTCAAGAGTAAGCACCCTGGAAGCAAATAGCTTCACTAGAGGACTGACCTACAGACTGACATTATTTTCTTATTATTTAACTAGCGACCCGCCCCGGCTTCGCACGGGTGCAATATGCATGTATTATACATACAAACCTTCCTTAAGAATCACTCTATCTATTAAAAAAAAACCGCATCAAAATCCGTTGCGTAGTTTTAAAGATCTAAGCATACATACGGACATACAGCGAAAGCGACTTTGTTTTATACTATGTATTGATATTTAAATATTTTGTTGTGACATTCAAAAGTGCCTTCCTGGTCTAATTTAAATAAATGATTTTGACTTTGACTTTGAACGCGATTATGAATGGGTGATGCGCGAATCCCATGCGATGCGGTGCGAGGCGGTATATCCTACGTGCAAGCGAATCACAATATAACCAAATGTAACACGACAGCACCGTATCTAAATTAGACAGCTCGCGAGAAACCATCGGTTTCTGTTCTCCTCTTATAATATCTTCTGATTCATGTCGTTGTGGGATCCAAGACTGTTATTCATGTTCTAAGGAGGCGCCGGACTTCAGTGTTCCGGAGTTTTCATATTAAGAATGAAGTTAAGAAGCCTGGACCTCACGACACAGAGACCTAGTGTGAGGTCCAGTACACGACAAAATTGTTATATTTAACAAAAATTAGGACAAATATATTTTTTGTACAAAGTACACGAATTTATATAATTGCAATTTTACTCTTTGCACATTCAACACTGTACTTATTAGTTCAGTTCGCGATTGACCGTACAAGTGTACACTCAAGTCATTTTAACTCGTCGAGTACCGTCATTAAAGACACAATTATAGAACAATAGGTTGCGGTCACCGGTGACCGCTTGGTGTTTGACAGTTTAATATCAAGTATTGTTTTAATTTTCTACAATTCAACAAGTTTTCTTTATCAAGATTATCAGTAATCAAGACAAGAGCATCAGCTCCAACAATTTTCTTTTTTCAGGTGTTTCTTTATCTTTAGCTTTTTACACAATACGGTACTTGCCAACTAGTCAAATTCAATACTATTTTCGAACTGTCAAAAACGACAGTTTTCTATGAATTTTGTACGAGATTGTGTATTGTGACGTCACGTTTTTTTAGCGTCAAACAGCATAGGTACTTATTTCTCAAAAATTTGCTAGAAAAATACTAAAATTAAGTTTGTCATAAAATCAATTAATGACAGTGTGATTATTTTTTAATATTTTATTGTATTGAACGGTCGAAATAATTAATTTTTAATTAAGAAAAGTACCCAATTATGTTGTGTAAAATAGACACGTGTCAAATCGACACTTTTCTTTGAAAAAATTTAAATAAATTACACTTACCGCGACATCACTTAGAAAAACGACACCGCATTCAGTATTATCGACGTTTTTCATAATTTCGGTGAAATATTCGGTCGCTTGGGAGAGTATATCTTGAAGTGCAGTCGACTGCTGAAGGGCAGAGAGCAAGACTCCTGCGTTGCGTACGTACGATACTCTGTAATTAAAAATAACATACATACATAACATCACGCCTTTTATCCCCCAAGGGGTAGGCAGAGGTGCACATTACGGCACTTAATGCCACTGTACAATGTAACACCCATTTTTCACTATTTAATACTATTTATGTTATAAGTCCCATGTAATAGGGGATGAGCCTATTGCCATATACCGGGCATAGTTCCAGACTTCGTGCTACTACTGAGAATTTTTAAAAACCCAGTAATAATAAAAAATAATTTAATATAATAAAAAATAATTCTTCTATAATTACGTTTAAAACTACCTCTTTATTTGAAGTCGGTCAATTAATATACTAAAACCTTCTCTTTAAGTGTAATAAACACTGAAACCCCCATCAAAATCGGTTCAGCCTATCGCGTGATAATTGCGCGTAAACATACATACAGACATACAGGTCAAACTGAGAACCTCATTTGTTTTCAAAGTCAAAGTCAAAATCATTTATTTCAATTAGACCAGGAAGGCACTTTTGAACGTCACAACAAAATATTTCAATATTAAATAATAAGAAAAAACCCTATTAAAAAACCCCATTCCTTGGCAACTACTCTATTGTGAAAAAAAAAGAAGAAAAGAAAAAGCATTTATTCGACAGTAGGCACGCACACAAATACAAAAAAAAATACAAAATTAAAAAAGAAAATAACAAATAAATACACTTATTTATACAGATATAGAAAAAAAACACAAAGAAACGACAACGTATAACAAAATGTATGACAATATCTCTAAATAACATTTAACGGTGCGAACTTGTGAACTTACTTATCATCCAAGTACGCAGCGAGCTGGCAGCAGACATGCGCCAGTTGCAGCGCGTGCGCCGGCCTGCTGTAGTACTGCAACTGCTGGACGAATATCTCCGCCAGCTGGACGGCGGGCCGCAGCAGGGGTTTGGTGGTTACTGCAGAGAAGAAATTATAATAGCATTGCTAAGGCCGTTCTCATCTTTGGGATGGTTCGGCCAAATATCAGCTGGACGCGTTAAAGTACATTGAGAGGAGTGCCAAGAGGCTCATCGACGATGATGCGCTTGTTTAGGCCCGGCTTCAAAGCCTCGAACACAGGCGGAAGGTTGCAAGCCTTTAGGTTTTCTACCAGATTCATTTCAGTGAGTGTGCGGGGGAATTGCACAAACTGATTCCCCCTAGTCCTTTCCATCATCGTACCACAAACACGAAGCGTTTCGCAACAAGCTTCTGATAAGGAGTGGAATTCTTTGTCAGAGTCTGTATTTCCTGAAGGGTATAACCTGGGTGTCTTCAAGACCCGAGTGAATAGGTTGCTTATGGGACGACGTGCTCCATCGTAGACCGCATCATCACTCACCACCAGCCGAGATAGAGGTGAAACGGCGGCCCATCAAATAAAAAAAACAACAAAAATAAGGTTGTAAAAATATGGATGTACCGGTGTTGATAACCGCCAATAGCTCAGTCCACACTTCTACGGCCTGCAGAGCTCTGCGTAGCGCGGTCTGTTCCTGGGGCAGTGTGCGCATCGCTTGTTGAATATCCGGGTCTATATTCTGTAAGTTAAACAGAAAATATAGTCAAATTTAATTTATTAAATTCACACAAAAATAAATTTCGAATCAGTAATCTTGTAGATTTTTTATGGAATAAGCCGGTAAACGAGCAGACGGATCACCTGATGGTAAGCAATCGGCGTCGCCCATGGAAAGTGTCAGCAACACTAGTGGAGTTACAAAGGGGAAGTGCCAGATATTTTTTTTTTATGAAATAGGAGGCAAACGAGCAGACGGATCACCTGATGATTATGAGCCTCTAGCATGGCTTGAAAGTAGTCCAGCTCCTCGTCAAACAGTTAGGTACGTGAGTAAGTCGAAAACATAATAATTAATTTAGTATGTCTCACGAAAGCGACGACGAGCGCCTAGCTTCACTGACGGACAGACTGACAAGACTATTATATATTTCATATTTGTTGACGTTTCCAAAGTACCAAATTATGGTTTAATTGAAATAAATGCGGAGTTTGAGTTTGAAAAGTATTAAATTATTAATACAAAGTGTTGTTTTAAAGCCGCGTCATTTTCTAGGAGGTAACTCGGCTACCGACTCTGAGTCCGATTCAATAAAAAAAATTGTAGGTAAATATTTTTCATTTTTCTGTAAATTACGGAAATCCGTAAGTGCGAACTACACGCCGCCGTCTTGTAACTAGCTTTATAACGCGGCTTAACACACACAAACTCAAACACGTAATTTATCTTATTCCTAATTCCATAAAACTCCAATAAGAAACATTGTTGTCGCTTATTCTGAAATACCTACTGTCGAACTTAAACGATTTATTATAGCCGTCTTTTTAACTATTGGCCCGAAATTTTGTCTTATAGGAATTTGAAGATTGTTGACTCCTTCTCCTTCTGGACTCCTTCTGGAGATTAGCTCGTTGAAACAAACCAATTCTTCAGTTTTATATTAGTATAGATGAGACTCACCGTTTCAGTAGCTTTCCAATTATATTTGTGGCTGGCCTCGGCTATATCGTACTCGGCTTGAAGGAACAGCAGTATCGTTTGTGCGAGGCGTATGTCCGATGAAATCGGTTCCTGGAAGAAGTAAAGTAATGTTTTTTAAATTTAATATTTATTTATTTTTTAAGAAAATCGCGGAGATCGCGTGACGATATCCGGCCACCGTAAATGCGGGTCTACGGACGGCGAGCACGGGTGACTCGCCGCCCGACCAGAAACAGACCCGAGCGTACAGCGCGCGCCTCAAAGAGCCATCAGACCACCACGGATAGGGCCCAGTAGGGCTGATGCCCCGACACAGAGTTGCGGAGAAACTAACGGGTTACCGGGGCTCCAGCTCGAAGACCAGAAGTAGGAACGGAGTGGTTTTTAGTCAGTAAGAGTCTGACACTCCCTCTCGAATCACCCAGGCGGGAGCAGTCATAGGATGATTATCCCCCCTCAAAAAAATAAAATAAATAAACCGCCTTAAGTCTACAACATTAACTCGTCGAGTACCGGTTTTGTAGACACAATTATAGAACAATAGGTTGCGGTCACCGGTGACCGCTTGGTGTTTGACAGTTTAATAATATTCAAAAATTAATGAAAAAAAAAATAATCCTTTTCATAAATACTCACAGGCATCTTCTCAATGTTCTCCAATAACTCTGTAACGACCACTTTGAAATGATCAGCGTGAATAGTCCTCACCGCGGCCGGAGTCAGCGATATAACTTGTAGTAGCGTCCAAAATATGGCATCTGTGTTTTCCACTGAAATAAATACATAAATATTATATCTTTTTTTCCTTAGAGGGGTGGGCAGAGAAACCAGTTTTCCTATTTCAAGTGTGAGTAGTCCCTCAAAGCTATTGGCCGAGTGGTCGGTCTCGTGTTCGATTGCCGGGACGGGCAAGGAAAAACTGGGTTTTTTTTAAAATCTCAATGGTAGCACGGTGTCTACAATTGTAAACATATAAAAAATAAATAATAGTCTGTCAGTCTATTATTACACATAGGACCCACTTAGTTTTTAGTCTTTCCGTGGTGCTTGGCGACTGGGCTTCACCCAGTTGTACAGTCTCTTCTTTGTGCCTTTAGGCTTAATTCATTCTGTCTCCTGCAGTAATTCACCGAGGGAAGTGGAAACCATAGTTTTTTCTTCTCCTCTTATAATATCTTCTGATTCACTTCGTTGCGGGAACCAAGACAGTTACTCATGTCCCTGGGACGCGCCGGACTTCAGTGTTCCGGTGTTTGCATAGTTGTATCTACTGTAGATCCTGGCTTACAGGAGTTGCAGCGGTTTCGGGAGGTTGTGGCGGGCTTGTCCCATAAAAAAAATTTTGTCAGTCTGTCCGTCAGTGAAGCTAGGCGCTCGTTCCAAAATGTAGATTCGAATGGAGAAGAACGAGCAAGACATTCGTTACTCTTTTTAAAAAATATATTTTACATTCTCAATGATACATGATCCAATATTCTACGCATCTGTGAGAACACTGCCTTGTTGGCCGAGTGGTCGCAAGTGCGACTGCCGGGCAAGGGGTCTCGGGTTCGATACCCGGGTCGGGCAAGCTATTACTGGGTTTTTAAAAATTCTCAGTATTAGCACGGAGCCTGGAAATGTGCCCAGTATTTTTTTTTAGGGGGGAAATCATCGAATGACTTCTCCCGCCTGGGTGAAGCGGGAGGGAGTGTCAGACTCTTACTGACTAAAAACCACCCCGTTCCTTCTCCTGCCCGTCGAGCCGGAGCCCCGGTTACCCGGGCACATTTGTCGCGGAGAACCTAACCTCCGCGACAAATGTGCCCGGTATAGGGCAATAGGCTCACCCCCTATAATACACGGGACTCATAACATAAATAGTGAAAAGTGGGTGTTACATTGTCATCAACAGCCTATAAATGCCCACTGCTGAGCAAAGCCTCTTCTCACACGGAGAAGGTTAGAGCATTAATCACCACGCTTGCTCAATGCGGGTTGGCGATTTCAAACTTATAATTAGAAATTATAAGTTCAGGTTTCCTCACGATGTTTTTCCTTCACCGTTTGTCAGTGGTGTCTTAATAATCTTAGAAAGTACATATAACTCGAAAAATGTCACATTGGTACTTGCCGTTGGTAGGTTTCGAACCCGCACCCTCATGCATGAGAAGTGGGCGTCTTAAACCTCCGGGCCACCACGACATTTGTGTTACATTGTACAGCGGCATTAAGTGCCTCTCTCTGCCTACCCCTTCGGGGATAAAAGGCGGGATGTTATGTTATGTAATACTTTAAATTACCTGTAATCCATTTCTCTTGTCTGCTATTAAGAAGTGAGTTCAGGGCGCGCCAAACTCCGGCCACCGGCGCTATAGACGGCCATAACTTGCAGTACATTTCAAACTCATGCTTCAGAAGTGAACTGTAATAAAATAATTAGGTATTTTATAAACTATCCTTACTTCCTTACTTATATTATTTCCTTACTTATATTATAAATTGGAAAGTGAGTTTGTTTGTTTGTTTGTTCCGCTTTCACGCCGTAACTACTAAACCGATTGCTTTGAATTTTTGCAGACGTAAAGTTAGAAGTCTGGATTAAATAATAGGGTACTTTTTATCCCGGAAAAATTTGATATTCCTGAGGGAAAACAAAAGTGTTGGTATAGATGGCGCTGTGTGTATTGGTACATGTCACATAGGCTACTTTTTATCCTTAAGTGACGCGAGCGAAGCCGCGGGTAAAAGATAGTCTGTAAATAAAACCGACTATAACCCCTTCTTTTTTAAAGTCGGTTAATTAATATACTAAAACCTCCTCGGTACCTCTACCGAGGGGCCATAGATGGACATATACTGACCACATTGGCGATATATTAAAGAAGGGCCAAATTAAAAGTACCCTTAACCAACGAGCATGCATGAAAAGATTGATGACTGTTATTGAAGCGAAAGAGGTGTGTAGGAATCGTAGCAATTGGCGTTCTTTAGTCTCTGCCTACCCCCATGGGGGACAGGCGTGAAGTTATGTATGTATGTATGTAAAACCTCCTAAGTGTAATTAACACTTTTCTGAAAACCGCATCATAATCGGTTCAGCCAATCGAGAGATAATCGCGCACAAATATACATACAGGTCAAAATAAGAACCTCCTTCATTTTTGAAGTTGGTTTTAAACATAATAAATTTTAGTTACATGTATAGCATTATATATTTTTTTTAAGGGGGAAAGTCATCGAATGACTGCTCCCGCCTGGGTGAGGCGGGAGGGAGTGTCAGATTCTTACTGACTAAAAACCACCCCGTTCCTTCTCCTGCACGTCGAGCCGGAGCCCCGGTTACCCGTTCGGTTCTCCGCGACAATAGCATTATAATAGTTCGGCTAGCAGGTCATCTTATTATTTTATGTCAATTTTCTCTGTTACACCTTCAACTTTATAGTATTGACATAAAGTCTAAAATCTAATGAAAGAAAAGAGAAAATGAGAAAAAAATTCCAATTCCTTTACCAAACTCAGGCATCGAACCTTTTTTGAGGGGGGATAACCATCCAATGACTTCGCCCGCGTTGGGTTAGGCGAGAGGGAGTGTCAGACTCTTACTGACTAAAAACCACCCCGTTCCTACTCCTGCACTTCGAGCCGGAGACCCGGTAACTCTTTAGGCCTTCCGCGGCTTTGTATCGGGTATCAGCCCTAATGGGTCATATCTGTGGTGGTCTGATGGCTCTTTGAGGCGCACGCGGAACGCGACGCACCGTTTGCACGTACAGGTCTGGTTCTGGTCGGTTGGCGAGCTACCCTTGCTCGCCGTCCGCAAACCCGCACTTACGGTGGCCGGAGACCATCACACGACCTTCGACGCTGGGAGTGTCAGGCGGTAGGTGAGGTAGCGTCTCTCAAGCCACTCCTCAAAGAGGGGACTTACCGCTGCAATGACAGTGAGCCCTGGCATCGAGCCTAAGACTGATATCCTAGCAGTCACGCTTTTGACTAGTCGACCAATAGGATAGACAAACATTTAACATGTAGTATGCTTCTCTGCCTACCCCATAATGGCTTGAAAAGTGTTAAACATACATACCTGAACTTAACTTCTTTCAAAAACGGCTTCAAATCTCCATACAATTTATTTTCCATGACAATTCTACAAGCATCCATCACGGAGATCATCTGAAGGTCATCAGTTTTGTCATCAGCGTCATCATCATCACTTTTCAGAGCTTTTGCCTTGATATCCATCACCAAACTCATATACTTATCAGAATTAAGGTCTTTCGCAAAAATCAAGCTCAAAAAAGCATCCAATAGTGCTTGTTCATGCATTTTATAGTCCAACTCACATATGCTCTTATTATAAAATGCTCGCGCCACATTTTTATGCTCGAACTCATTCAAATTAATGCTTAACTCATTTTTTATATAAATCTCAAATAAATTGATTGAGAATTCGTATGTTTGGTTCTTGTTTAGCGCTATGGCTGTGTTGTGCGTATCTGTTTGTAGTTTTCTATAAAATTTGTCGTAGTTGATACATTTTTGCTGTTTTAATTGACACATAATTGAGTATTGTTGATCTATGACGTTTTTATAGACTGGTAATAACCTTGTCATATCAATGTTTTGCTGTATCGAAGCCGAGATGAAATGCTTGACCAAGAAAGACAGTCTTAAAGCATCGTGCAAACCAGTTTTTACAGCACAATTTTCACATTTCAACAACTGTTCGCAGTTTTTCAACTCCTTCAGTAGTTTCAGCATGAAATTCAGGCAATTTTCTTGCACTTCCGCCGTGAAATTAGTTTTAATACCATTGTTAATGGAGTATTCGATGAATAATCTTAAAAATTGTGCTATGAACGGGTATGAAGTTGACATAGTTGATTCATAACCCAGTTTCAAGGTGATATCACAAGATAGAGTAAGATTTTTGAAGACAGTATCCAAATAAGTAGTCTTATTAAGAAAAATATCGCAGAAAGAATTCAAATAGAAGGTTTGTAGACAGTGGAAGAAGTCCGGCTTATGTCCAAGAAGAGTTATGGCCGTTCTCACAGCGGAGTTAATAGCTGAATTTTTAAACTGTGTTTTTGAAGAATTTTCCGCTACAACATAGAAACAATCACTGAATTTTGCATAAACATCTAATAATTCTTTATCTTTGAGCTTTTTCATAGCATTCATATCGGTCTTCTGTGATAATTTCTCAAAGATCTCCTTGTAAAAGCCGTTGAGTACTTCGGAATGAGATTCGCTGTATATAAAATGCAGTTTCTTGACTAAAAATACTAGTATATTGGAGCAGAATTGAGCTGTGTCATATATTTCTATAGTTTTCAGTACATCTTCGTTTAATTTCGGTAATAGTTTGTGTATTGATTTCCCTCTTAGCTTTTCTATAAAGCAGAGTCTGTCTGCGAGTATATTCCAGTATGTCTTGCTATATTCTTTTAAAAGATTCTTTGGTTCCGCTTCGAAAGCCATGAAGGAGAGTTTCAGTATTAATTCTGGAGGTATTTGTTTATTCTGTAAGATAGAAATAAATTGATTATTTACTAAATATGTTCTGATGGCCCGAAAGTTTAAACATCCGCTTCTCATGCATGAGAATGCATTTGGGTTTGAAATCTACCAACGGCAAGTACCAATGTCTCTTTTTTCGAGTTATATGTACTTTCTAAGATTATTTAGACACCACTGACAAACGGTGAAGGAAAACATTGTGAGGAACCCTGGGCTAATAATTACTAATTGTAAGTTTGTAATCGCCAACCCATATTGAGCAAGTGTGGTGCTTAATGCTCAAACCTTCTCCGGGTGAGAAGAGGCTATGCTCAGAAGTGGGCATTTATAGGCTGTTGATGAAACTTCTGAGCTATCACATCAAGGGCGCATGCATGCCGCATAACTTACATAAGTGGGAGCGAGAGATCTGATAAAAATGACTTGTGACAGTTTGCACATTTCTAATGGCCCAAGTATAAGAAAACTAAAGATTTTATAGACATACTAACTGACCCGGCGAACTTCGTACCGCGTAATACTCTAACCTACTCTATCCCACTCTACCCTATTCTACCCTATTTTACTGTACCGTAATGAAAAATACCGCGTAGTACTCTAACCTACTCTATCCCACCCTACTCTACTCTACCCTACTCTACCCTATTCTACTGTACCCTAATGAAAAATAGACTATCCTATCTCTCAAGTTCGATCGAACTGCACATGGTGTGCGAATTTTATTATAATCAGTTAAGTGGTTTAGGAGTCCATTGAGGACAAACATTGTGACACGAGATTTATATATATTATTAAGAAAGATAAGATACATACCAATCTAACAACATATCTATGTATATGGTAGATACAGGCCAATGTTTTGACCTGTTCAGCCTTGTTCAGTCCTCTCGTCTCTCTGATACAGTCTATGGTTAGAGTTAGCAACTCTTTGTTATCTATACTATCTCGCCATGAAGGCGCTTTGTCTAGGTTCCTGAAAAAAATGCATAGAATTAATGTGATTTTCAAGAATGTTGAATTAACACTTGTATAGAAGTGGGTTGTAGAAGGCCTAATTTAAGAATCAAACCTGTAACCACTTGTCTTGTAGCTTTATGTAATTTTAGAAAAATGAAGTAAAAAACACCTGTTTCCGGTTTTAAATCGGCATGATGTATTGAAATTATTGATTTATAAACTTATGAATAAATTTAAAACTAAAATAAGATTTACTTTTGAGCATTAACATTGTGTTTTTTAGTAACCAAAGTTCAAATGGTGCAATTAGACAACATTGTTCAGAAAATGAAACAAATGCATAATATAATGTAGTTTTGTTCTGTTTATAGTCTCACAGTTTAAACTGTGAGTGTTTCAAATAGGATAATAAGAGCATAGTAGCCGAAATATGGGCTAAACAAGTCAAAATTCACACTCAGATTAGACCAGTTCTTCGTTTGGCCAATTCACACCAAATTCATAATTATTTCAGAGTTTTGTTGTTAATTGACAAATTAGATTTACCTGCACAATAAACATAACACATTTAGCGAGAAAGATCCTCTTTCTTTCGACGATAACTTGGAAGAAATCACTTTATAATCGTTGTACACTTTGGCTAAGTTATTCCAATCCTTTTCGTCACCGTTCGCTTTGATTTTCACTAAAAAATCGTTGGCTTCCATCTTACTTTAGAATACAATTTTCAAACATCACACAATTAAAACGTTTCAACAATATTTTGTAGATAAAATTGATAATTGATTAAATAAATTCAAATCACAAGTTTTGGCCGTTATGTTTTAAAACGTCAGACATTTCAACAAAATATTCCTGTCATCAATGAAAACGTACTTGTAAAAAATAATTCTGGCCAATGACAAGGAACTTTAGATTTCTAGCCAATCAAATCATTGGTTAAATTGTTTACGGTAGTTTTTCTTTATTCTGTAGCTGGAAACAAACTGAACAAAACGTTCCGTTTCAGTAATGGAAACCGAAGTAATCATTTACGTTTTGTTTAATCTTGTAATTTAATTAATATACTCGTTTTTCCTACTTTTTAGAAATCTATTGTAAATGTACGTTTGTGCGTCATTGAATATTTAAAAATCGCCATCATTTAGTCTTCAAATCAGTGAAAGTGTAAAAAAACGTTGTAAAGGACTACGTTTAGATATTTTTCTATAATACTATTATTTGTCAAATTAAACTTAAGTTTGTATTGTGATATAATGTAAAATGCACAAGCAAAAATATTTAAAAATTATAAAATCGGGTTACTCTTAGTTCATTACGTTTTGTTATCAATCAAGTTGATGTCAATCAGCCATATCATATCATGTCATGTCAGAAATTTGTTAGTCGAAGCGTCAAAAAAGCCGCCATTTCTTGGTTATCAATTCGATCATTTCTAATAATTCTTCCAGCAAGTTAATTATACGCTATAAATAATCAATCTAATATATAATTTAATGGCGAAAGTACTTTATTACTAAGTATAGCTACTGTCAGCTCCTCCGGGGGTAATATTCACACTACGATAAGAATTTTACCTCGCAGTAGGTAAGTATTTCCTACATTAACATCGATTTATTTCGGCATCTAGGGACGCAATTGCAACAATAATTAAAAACCAAACTTCCTGTATAACAACTAATTTACTTTTGACAATATTTTTTTCTTATTAGATTCTTTTATACCCGCCATTTCAAAAAACTTTACTTGCTCATTACCTATTTCTTAAGTTTTTCTATTTCAACGATAGAAGTTAACAGTATTCACTAATTATATACTTCAAAATTATTACGCTTACAGTTCAAAGCTGATTATCTAATTAGATGTTTGCATATAAAGAATATAGCAGGGAAAAATGGTAGCCAACCCAAACCACAAAAAATGCTCCAAGGCTTGATTCCTAGGCCGAGGAAAGTGTTATATTCATGTTTTGTAGGCAATAAAAGTCATAAAGTCAAAATCATTTATTTCAATTAGTCAACTTTTGAAAGTCAACAGCAAAAAATTAAAAGTGAAGCTATTTGCTCATTCCAAGGTGTAGATTCCTATGGAGAAGAATGAGCAAGAAATTCCATAATTATGTTACTCTTTTTCAATCAGGTTCACAACACAATTCTCCAGTTACATAGTTTTATTGGTTTCATTGTAACCCAGCATCTTCTATTACATGCCCTTAAAATGCTCATTCACCAAAATTTGAATTAGACGGCACTTAAAACCTGTTTACCAATGTCTGATTAAGTTTTTGAAAGTTATACACATCATAAATATACGATTTCCCTTTTGTCATATAAATTATATAAATACTTTGATATCTTTAACCTTTAACTACTGACGTCGGCGTCTCATAGACGGTGTGTCCACAAATATAAATTTAACTCGTCAAGTACCGTCATTATAGACACAATTATAGAACAATAGGTTGCGGTCACCGGTGACCTCTTGGTGTTTGACAGTTTAAATCAAACTAACAAAACATAACATAACATGTTATGTTATGTTTTGTTATGTTATGTTATGTTTTGTTTTATGATATGTTGATTTAAACTGTCAAACACCAAGCAGTTTAAATCAAACTAACAAAACATCCTAATAATTGTGTTGTAGCTAAGATTGTGACATATATTTTTTTAAGTTATGCGAAATATAGTTTATAGAATTTGAACCAAAAACCGCTGATTTCATTTGAAAGAATAATAAAGGACAGATCATAATACAAGTAAATATTGTGCAAATCAGTGAATAAAAGTAATCCATTTTTATTATTTGTTAAGGTGTTTGACATATGTCATGTCACCATTTATGGAATGAGTAAACCACGTCAGGACTTAACTCGTCGAGCACCGTCATTATAGACACAATTAAAGAACAATAGGTTGCGGTCACCGGTGACCGGTTCGTGGTTGACAGTTTAAAGGTTATTTTTAACTTCTTAATCCTAATCTTTCTAAAACTCTAACGAAGTAAACTACCCAAGATAGCTCCTAAAATCAGATTAACTTGTGTTTTTCAGGTACGCAACAGAATGGGGCTTGCAAATTACCACCTGCTACTCTTTGGCCAAGTCATCTCATACTTCCTCGCATCAAAACTAATATTTGACAAAGTTAACGAAACCATAAACATTGTTATCGATGAATACTTCCATATACCGCAAGGAATAGCGTATTGTAATGGAAACTATTCCTACTGGGATCCGAAGATAACGACTCTGCCAGGCTTGTATCTCGTATCATCGGTTGTTGGCACATACTTCAAATGCAATACGTACAATTTACGGTTCGTCAATCTGATAGCGTCATGTGTGAACTTAGTACTATTTTCCAGCATCTTACGGTTTGTCTACTTCAGTGATAGAAATCATATGAAAATTATTTTGCAAGCGGTTAGCCTGACTATACTGCCTCCATTATATTTCTTTTCACATGTCTATTACACCGATGTCCTCTCCGTAACTTTCCTGTTGCTGTTTTCAAGATTATGTTTGACAAACCGATACATTTTCATGATTTTGATCAGCGGTGTGTCTTCCATAATGATGAGACAGACAAATGTTGTATGGATTGCTATGGTGTTTGGTCATAAGTTGCTGGATTTATTAATTAAGAGTTCCAGAGTGTTTGGTAACCAGTATATTAACGATGTGAGGTTGAGTAAGCGTTCGCTCATAGCCAAAGACGTGGATAAGTCTAAATTGAAACGGTATTACGGATTAAAAGATGTGTACTTTGCAGCAAAATATCATTTGTCAACTGGTTTGACAACATTCTTCAAGTTCTTAACGTTCCATGATGCTACCATATTGTTCACTCATTTGATGATACTCAGCGGTTTTGTGGCTTTTGTTTATTACAACGGTTCCATTGTTGTTGGAGACAAAACTGCTCATGAAGCGACTCTCCATTTACCCCAATTGCTGTACTTTTTGCTATTTTATGGAGTCTTTGGTTTACCTTACGTTGTGAATCGGTTGAAATCTACACTAAAATTGATGTATAGGCAGAAAATTTTAGTTTTACTGTCGATTTTGGTCTTTATATTAACAGTGCATTTCAATACCTTAGTCCATCCGTACTTGGTAGCAGACAACAGACATTTCACATTCTATGTCTGGAACCGATGGTTTGGTAAATATGAGAATGCCATTTATTTGACCGTACCAGTATATGTTTTTCTTCTATTCAGCATTTATGATAATTTGAGAGAACAGAATTGTATTTCGTTTTTGCTACCGTACACAATCTGTTTGGTTCTTAGTTTAGCGTTGCAGAAGTTGATAGAAATCAGATATTTTTTGGTACCGTACATCGTTTTAAGGTTAAGGTTCGCCAGACCGTCTCATATGGTAATTCTGTCAGAATTCCTATGGTATATTTTGATAAATGCGGCCGCTTTCCACGTTTTTTTCAATAAAGAAGTCATGTGGAAGGATTTCGATTATGTTCAGAGGATAATTTGGTAGTATTAAGTATTAAAAAATGCGAATAGTCATAGAAATGTTCTTGGAGTTATTTTTCTAGTCCAGAGGAACCAGTCTTTTGCATGAGTGGAATTGCGTTTAAAAATAATATAATTGTCATAAGGCCCGGATTATATGCAACGTGAAAGTGCCAAAATTTGCACCAGAAAGCCGAAAAATGGTATTATATGTGCATCAAAAAGCCTGAAATATAAATACCCGAAGTGTGTTTGATTCAGAACAAAGATTTCCGAGATCAAAACTGAAGTCTTTGGCACAACTGAAGAAACGTGTTGAATTCGTTTCAAATTCATATTTTAGGTAAAATATTGCCCAACTTGCGACATAAATAACAGTCATTAAGGACATTAAGTATACGATTTTCGTTTAGCTTTTTCAAAATACCAATACTAGCCGGACGTCCACCGCCAGCTAAACTAGGTTAGGTTTTTTAGCTCGCATGGTTGAGCTAGTTTTTCATACATGTGCAAACTATGCTAGCTACGCTGCCATAATACTATTATACTTCGAATTTCCTTGTGCGGACAATTATGCAGTGGAACTCTATGCCAGAGTCTGTGTTTCCTGAAGGGTAAAACCTGGGTGCTTCAAGTCACGAATGAACAGGGTGCTTATAGACAGGCGTGCTCCATCGTAGGCCGTATTATTGTGCACCATCAGGCCAGATAGTGGCCATATAAGATACCAAGAAAAGAAAAAAAGTGGCTCAATTATGCGAGCTAAACAGACTTAAATATTACCTAGCAGTGAATGTTTAGCTGTCTGCTTTATCATTCAAAAAGATCCAAAATAAATATAAATACTAATTATACGCATCTAATCCGGACTTTAGTTATAAATGGTGACCAAACGGTCCTTAAATCTAGACTAAGAATTAGTTTTATGATTGTCAGAATAATTCGTAATAGTAATTATATATTGAAAAATGGCTCAAAAAGGCACCAAGCTACAATGCCGTTAGTATTTCGAAGATATTGTGATTTTTCGCTGTTTGGAAAATCCTGGTCGCTTTACGGTTTTAGGCACGCTACAAGAATGCCTTTAATGTTAAAGTGATTGTATTTTTGTAAGGCCCCAGCCGCACTACGTTGTTTTCGGTAACCGAAAACGGAGACATCGCCACGGTTTCCACCTACGATATTTTCAACCTTAAGTCCTACCGCTAAAATTAAATTTTGTGACCCCAACAATTTTGTAACATTTCAATCGTGATTACTCGCTAGTCCTATAATTTATATCCGATTCGGTTTCACAGAATTATGCGATTAAAAACCGCTGGGGATTTGCTGTAGTACGGCTGGGGCTAAGCCAAAATGACAGGCTATATATTTGTTTTAGCTTGTACGGTGGTCAGCAGGTCGACCTATCCTTGTCTGAAATTCCTCTATTACATCTTGAACTTCATTGTATTGGCATAATGTCGAAAATCTAATAATAAATTTGACAGATTGAAGTTGATCTGTGGACCTCGGTACCCAATAAATGTCGTTGAGTTTCATAACTTAAGTTGTAATGAAATAGTTAAGGAAGATGTGTATTTTTTTTTTCGTTTGTAATAATATTATTTTTGAAATGATGTCAATTAATTACAAAGTTTATTATTAATTATTAAGTATCAATATTTGAATGTGAAAATAAATTATTTTGAGTAACTTATTATTATTATTTTATACTCCGGAATCTGTCGTACAACATGTTTGCTAACATATGCTCATCAAAAAAAGGCGTTTACGTTCATAGGCCGTGGTAACCACTTACCATCACCGCCGTGGTATAAAAAAAGCTACGATTAGTCTGATAGTCTTTCACCTGCAATACGAGGTATCACGAACACGAGTGTGTTGCGCACCATGTACATAGGTAACTGTTACTGTTGAAATGTTTGTTTGTTCGTCGTTTTGTGCTCACTAGATGGCGCTGATGCACAAAATGTTCTATTCAGCTTGAGGTAATAAACATTCCCGTTTTTACCAACCTCTACTCAATTAATTATTATGTTTTCGGCTTTCTCACGTAACTGTAACGTTACGGTAAACGAGCACACGGATCACCTGATGGTAAGCAATCGGCGTCGCCCATGGACACCTGGAACACTAGAGGCGTTACAAGTGCGTTACCGGCCTTTTGGGGATTAGGAGTTTGAGGATTGTTGGGGATTCAGGGATTGGGGAAGGGGAGGGGAATTGGGCATCCGGTAACCTCACTCACAGGAGAAAACAACGCAACGCACGCGTTGCTTCACGTCGGTTTTCAGTAGGTTCCTTGAATTTTTTTTTTTTTTTAACGGTGGAAAATCGTCGAATGACTGCTCCCGCCTGGGTGAGGCGGGAGGGAGTGTCAGACTCTTACTGACTAAAAACCACCCCGTTCCTTCTCCTGCACGTCGAGCCGGAGCCCCGGTTACCCGTTAGGTTCTCCGCGACTCCGAATCGGCATCGGCCCTATTGGGCCCCATCTGTGGTGGTCTGATGGCTCTTTGAGGCGCGCGCGGAACGCGACGCGCCGTACGCTCGGGTCTGTTTCTGGTCGGACGGGGAGCCACCCATGCTCGCCGTCCGCAGGCCCGCGCTTACGGTGGCCGGAGATCGTCTCGCGATCCCCGACGCCCGGTGTGTCCTTCGCGATGGCTGGGTTGCGAGGAGGCAGCGCTTCGCTGCCTCACGCGTCCCGCCTCCTCCTTAGCTAGCATGACTGCTTCGCAAAAGGAGTTCCTTTAAGTTTAGGGGGCTCCGGAGCAAGCAGGTCTATTATAGAGGACTTGGTGCCTCCTACAGGTGATGATGGTGATTTTAGTGTGGTAGGGATCCCACATTCTCTAAACTAGGCGCGTATTGAAGATTTCCTCCCTTTTCAACAAATATTCCCTTAGTAATTTAACGAGGAACTCGACTAGTTTCAAGCCATACAATCCCCGAATTTCCAACAATCGCCGAACCCCTCAACAATTCCCGGATCCCCAACAATCTCCTAATCACCAACAATCTCCTAATCACCAACAATCCCCTAATAACCAACAATCCCCAACAATACCCTAATCACAACAATCCCCTAATCCCAACAATCCCCTAATCCCAACAATCCCCTAATCCCAACAATCCCCTAATCCCAACAGTCCCCTAATCCCAACAATCCCCTAATCCCAACAATCCCCTAAATCCCAACAATCCCAACAATCGCCTAATCCCAACAATCCTCAAATTCCTAATACCCAAAATACCCGGGTGTCCTTGAGTGCCGCCGTATGCTTATCTACCAACAGGTGATACCTCTCCTCGTTTGCCAGTCTGTCGCTAAATGCCAACGAATCAATTACTTCTATATAGGTACTTACTTTCCCTGGGAATCTGGGGTTTTTCCACTAGATACCACACCAAACTCCAATCGATCTACTCTAACATTAATTAATCATTAGCGCGTGTATCTAGTAGGATATGTAGTTAGTGTGTCAATTTGAATGCAAGATATAGTTTCTGTGTAAGTAGTTTTTGTTGTACTTCCTAATTTTTTTTCTTTACTGAAAATTTAACTGTCTTGTTGACCGAGTGGTCGCAAGTGCGACTGCCTGCAGGGCATGGGGTCTCGGGTTCGATTCGCGCGTCGGGTAAAGTATTACTAGTAAGTACATATGGCAATAGGCTCACCCTATTACATGGGACTATAAATAATGAAGAGCGAGTGTTACATTGTACAGTGGCATTAAGTGCCGTAAATTACACCTTTACCGACCTCTTCGGGGATAAAAGACCTGGGTGCTTACTCTTGAAACCAAACTCAATGTCAATGCAATTTCAATCCAATAAAATCTCAATAATTATCCAATGTCAAAACTATACAACCCATAGCATCGCTGTTAAAGTAGGATTCAGAGTACGGAATATAAAACCAAACTCAATACCAATTACTTCATGAAATTTCCACCACGCAATACCCACGTATGCAATGGGCGCTAGTGTTGCAACTCAAGAGTACGAAATTTCACAATACCAATGTCGATCGATCGAAATTGGATTCAAGAGTAAGCCCACTGATGATGAGTGAGAATGCAATATTAAGTAAACAGTTCAGTCAAACAGTTCGTCAGCCACATCACCGCTTACCACCAGACAAGATGAAGGCCAAATTCAACCCATTAAGCATATAAAAATAAACTTCAAAAAAGAGCCTATAGTTGGAACATTATTAAAATTGTAGACCATCCTGAGGCCTTAGTACGAGTCTGTTTTACGGTTCAAGTAATCGTAACGAGTACGCGTTCGACGCTCTGATTGGTTGGTTCATTTGTGCCGGCCAATCAGATTTCCGAACGCGTACTCGTTAATCGAATACTTTAAACTTAAATCAAACTCGTAATATGGCCTCAGTACCTACACTATAGACGCATTAACGTTAAAGTCATTTGATTTGATGCACATACCTACCACACGCCTGACTCTCCATGGGGGACTAAGGAACGTCTATAGGGTAGTTTCCTAAATTTTATTTTAATATCCGTCAGTTAGATTAATTTTAAACATTAGACACGTATTTTTTTCTCACAAGATTTCATACTTTCGACTTCGACGATACATGAATTTGGAATATCGTATGACGTCACAGCGTGCGACGTAACGACCTCCCACTCCCTAAACTTAACGCCATTTTATCTAAGTATGAGAAAATTATAAATATGTGTCTAATATTTTTTCATTATAGCTATATGACGGACTAATTTAATTTAAATTATTAGATTTTTAATTTTTATACCCTGGCAACTATTTTATCGCCGTTTTACGATTCATCAACATTCATCAGTCTTTATTTGATTTATCCGTCTTAGACTATTACAATACCTACTCACAATAGCTATGTAAGTGACTGCACGAGCGATGACGCTGCCCGCTGCCACGGTAATATTATCATAAGTGCCGCTGCGCTGCGGTAATGTACCTATACCTACTGACGTATGACGGATGCCGCATCTAGCAACGCACCGCGTCTCTGTAGGCGTTTTTTTAAAGGGGGGAAAATCATGCAATGACTTCTCCCGCCTCGGTGAGGGAGGGTCGGACTCTTACTGAGTAAAAACCACCCCGTACCTACTCATGCACTTCGAGCCGCAGCCCCGGTAACCCGTTAGGTTCTCCGCGGCTGTAAACGAGGTCTATGGCAACACGGCTAGCACGCACAGCCAATTTTGACATATACAGTTTATACGGCTTGGCAAAAAAGGTTAGAATAATAGAGGTCGCTAGTATCTGTGGCACCCTGGTACGCTACCTACGACTCAATCGGTTTTGACATTTGTTATTTATCCAGTTTAAAAGGAGGAGGTACTGTGTTCGTATGATTGTTTAATCATGGGATATGGTCCGAAGTGGGTGATTCAGTGCAAATAAACATTACAATATTAGTATCAGCTGTCACCGTGTCATGCTAGCTAAGAAAGAGGTGGAGCACGTGAGGGAACGAGCCTCCTCACGCCCTAGCCGTTACGAGGGACACTCTGGCTCTGGGCGTCAGGGATCGCTAGACCCTAGACGATCCACAGATGGGGCCCAATACGGCCGATGCCGATTCGGAGTCGCGGAGAACCTAACGGGTAACCGGGGCTCCGGCTCGACGTGCAGGAGAAGGAACGGGGTGGTTTTTAGTCAGTAAGAGTCTGACACTCCCTTCCGCCTCACCCAGGCGGGAGCAGTCATTCGATGATTTTACCCCTTAAAAAAAAAGACCCTAGACGATCTCCGGCCACCGTAAGCACGGGCCTGCGGACGGCGAGCACAGGTGACTCGCCACCCGACCAGATCCAGCCCGTATATCCCCAAGCGGTCACCGGTGACCGCTCTCTATTAACTACATTATAGACCTTATTTCCAATGCTTTAGAGACTACTTTTGTATGAACAAATTTAGGGGATGATTTTCAACAATTTTTAACGGGGACTCGAGCATACGATGCGTCCCATCAGACCACCACTCCACCACAGATGGGGCCCAATAGGGCAGAGCCGCGGAGGACTTAACGGGTTGCTGGGGCTCCGGCTCAAAGCAGGAGTAGGAACGAGGTATTGTTTAGTTAGTAAGAGTCTGACACCCTCCCTCGCTTCTCACACAGAGCTGGACAAGTCATTATTTGTTGATATTCCCCCTCTTAAAAAAACATAAGCTTTATCTAATTTAATTACCTACCTACTCGATTAAAATTGACCTCGACAGTGCAACATAAAATTGTTTATATAAAAAATTGTGTTTAAAAAATCACCAATACCAAAGTCAATGTTTATCTCTGTGTTCTGACCTCTTAAACCCGTTTGTGAGACATTAAC